GGACTGAGGGTACTGAGCCTGAGGGTGCTGGGACTGAGGGTGCTGGGACTGAGGGTGCTGAGACTGAGGGTGCTGAGACTGAGGGTGCTGGGACTGAGGGTGCTGAGCCTGAGGGTGCTGGGACTGAGGGTACTGAGACTTTGGGTGCTGACTCTGGGGGTGCTGAGACTTCGGGTGCTGACTCTGGGGGTGCTGCGAGTCTTTCTGGAGGTCCTGGTGCTGGAGGTACTGGAGCTGCTGCTGGTGCTGGAGGTGCTGGAGCTGGAGGTACTAGAGGTGCTTCTGGTGCTGGAGGTGCTAGAGCTACCACTACTAGAGGTACTGGAGCTGGACAGCCACCGCAGCCTGCTCTACTTGAGACGCTCTCGCCGCAGGCGATTCGTGCGTGGGTCGTTCTGCGAGGCAGTCCTGGTGGTGGAGGGTACGGTCCTGCTGGTGCTGGAGCTACTAGTCCAGGAGTTGCTGCTGGTGCTGGAGGTGCTGGAGGTACTGCTGGAGGTGCTGGAGGTACTACTGGAGGTACTAGAGGTGCTGCTGGTGCAGGAGGTACTGGAGCTGCTAGTGCTGGGGGTACTGGAGCTGCTGCCGGTGCTGGAGGTACTGGAGCTGGTGGCACTGGAGGTGCTGGTGCTCCTGGTGCTGGAGCTGCGGGAGCTGCTGACCCTGGAGGTGCTGGAGCTACTGGTCCCGGAGGTGCTCGTACTGGAGGTGCTGGAGCTGCCGGAGCAGGTGGTACTGCTGGTGCTGGAGGTGCAGGAGGTGCTACTGGAGCTGCTGGCACAGGAGGTACTGGAGGTACTACTGGTGCTGGAGGCGCTGGAGCTGGAGCTGGAGGCACTGGAGGTGCTGGAGGTACTACTGGTGCTCGAGGTGCTGGCGCTGTCGGAGCTCGTGGTGCTGGAGGTGCTGGTGCTACTGGTGCTGGAGGTCTTGCTGGGGGTACTGGAGGAGCTGCTCGTGCTGGAGGTACGGGAGCTACTGGTGCTCTTCGCCACCTTCTCAGTCTTCCGCCAGGTGCTACTGGCTTCCCTGTGGCAGGTACTACTCCTCCGTTGCTGTGTCCGCCAGCGGACCAGTCACAGCCACCGCTGATACCACACTCCCCACTGCCTGCTCCTGCTCCTTACACTGCGGTGTCAGAGTCCCTGACTGAGCGTCGAGAGCCTGAGACTCGTGCTTCCACCCCTGAGCGTCGAGAGCCTGAGTCTAGCTTTGACCTTGAGCCTGAGCCTACAGCTGCTGTCCGTGCTCGTGTTCCTCGTGTTCGTCGTCCGCGTGCTCCGGCTGTCCCCGGCACTCACGATATGACACTCCGTCCTTCCTCTGTTCCTCAGCGTGTTGTACTACCGTTACCTCCTGCGTCCTCTCTGCTTGACGTTGCTGACCCTCCGTCTGACCTTGCTCGTGCGTCCAGTCCGACTATTACTCGCCTTCTTGCTACGGTTGTGACGGACCCTACGTTCTCGTCTCCTGCTGCGTCTGCCCTAGTAGCTGAGCTTGTTGACTTTGCTGCTGTGTACCGCCTAGACTACCTTGCAAGTCTTGTCTCTGACCCTGTCCCTGCCTGTCCTCCGTCCGTCGGGGGTGAGACTGCTCTTGGCTGTACTGCCCTTGGCTGTGACGTTCTTGAGGACAGACAGGAGGAGCTGGAGTGCCTTGCTGCCGCTTCACCCCATCACGCGACCATGCTGCTTGCCCCTGAGGGAGACCCGGATGCACTTGACATCCCCACCCCGCGCTCCTACAGGGAGGCGATTTCGGGTGAGTACTCCTCTCAGTGGCAGACAGCCATGGACGCAGAGATGGCTTCCTGGAAGTCCACAGGCACCTACGTCGACGAGGTTCCCCCACCTGGGGCGAACATCGTCAGTGGCATGTGGATTTTCAGGGTGAAGCGGCCGCCGGGTTCTCCGCCTGCCTTCAAGGCACGTTACGTTGCTCGAGGCTTCAGTCAGCGTGAGGGGGTCGACTTCTTTCAGACCTTCTCCCCCACCCCGAAGATGACCACTCTTCGGGTGTTGCTACACGTTGCAGCTCAGCGTGACTACGAGCTGCACTCCCTCGACTTCTCGACAGCTTTCTTGCAGGGTAGCCTTCACGAGGCCATCTGGTTGCGCCGTCCACAGGGTTTCACTGGGTCGTTTCCTGAGGGTACCCAGTGGAGCCTACGGCGACCAGTGTACGGCCTGCGTCAGGCGCCCCGTGAGTGGCACGACACACTGAGGACGACACTTGCGGCTCTTGGGTTTGCTCCTTCGACTGCTGACCCGTCGCTGTTTCTACGCACCGACACTACTCTGCCGCCGTTCTACATCCTCGTGTACGTCGACGACTTGGTTTTTGCTACTGCTGACACTGAGGCACTGGCCCTAGTGAAGGCAGAGCTGCAGGAGAGACACACCTGCACTGACCTGGGTGAGCTGCGGAGCTATCTTGGCTTGCAGATCACCCGGGACAGACCACGGCGCACCATCACCCTCACTCAGTCACACATGGTGCACCAGGTCCTTCAGCGCTTCCGCTTCACTTGGTCCTCGCCACAGCCCACTCCTCTGTCTACCGGCCACTCGCTCTCAGCTCCACCTTCGGACGAGTCCGTAGAGCCGAGTGGTCCGTACCCAGAGCTTGTGGGTTGCCTCATGTACCTGATGACGTGCACACGACCTGACCTCACGTACCCTCTCAGCCTCCTGGCTCGCTACGTGGCACCTGGTCGACACCGAAAGGTGCACTTTGATGCTGCGAAGAGGGTACTGCGTTACTTGTGCAGCACATCGGGCATGGGGCTCGTGCTTGGAGGACGGGGTTCGGTGGTCCTCACAGGACACTCTGACGCTTCTTGGGCCGACGACCAGACGACTTAGCGTTCGTCACAGGGTTACACCTTCAGTCTTGGCGCTGGTTCTGTCTCGTGGAGGTCCACTCGTTCTTCTTCTGTGCTTGGTTCCAGCTGTGAGGCCGAGATCTACGCTGGGGCCATGGCTGCACAGGAGCTACGCTGGCTGACCTACCTGCTGACCGACTTGGGGGAGCGGCCTCGTTCTCCTCCAGTTCTGTACGTCGACAACAAGGCAATGCTTTCCTTGTGTCGCGAGCAGAGACTGGAGCACAGAACGAAGCACATTGCTCTTCGCTACTTCCTAGCACGTGAGCTGCAGCAGCGTGGTCAGCTGCGCCTTGCTTACGTGGCCTCTCGGGCCAACACTGCTGATGTCTTCACCAAGGCCCTTGGGGCTGGTGATCATCACCGTTTCTGCACTGCTCTTGGGCTTGTGCCCACTCTGCCTCACCTGTTGGTTGCTTGACTTGCTCTTGTTGTACACTGCTATATATCTTTATGCCTGCATGTTTTCTCTTGCTAGGTTGTGATCAGTGTACTGCCTTGCTATTATATACCTCTGCATGTGAACTGTCCTTGTGGCCACTTGCTTGTGCTCAGAATGCGTGGTGACTTTGTGATCCACCCTGAGCTGTGTTCTCTTCTGCAGACTGGTCTTGTGACCGCTTGTTGTGTTTGCTGTCCCCTACTTTGCCTATGGGGGTGTGTCAGATTACAATTGTATCTCTAGGCTACAGTAGGGTCACTCCTTAGTGAGTACAACACTTTATGGTTAGGTTTCCCCTACTTGTACTCACCTCTTGCCTAGTCCAATCCATCATTCCTAGTTGTATTCTTGACATGTTCGTCCCAGAACCATGCACATAGGAAGTCGGTTCTATCATAAAAGTGTATTATAATTTGCATCAGTTCCGAGAGAACCTGTTTGACATGACACGCCATGCCGCGGTGAGATGGTTGGCATGCAAGGTCGCTGCTCCATTCAACAGCTGCGATTTCGGGCTCGGTCATCGGGTAGACTCGATCTGACATCAGCCAATCAGCAGACGTCATCCCTCAAACCAACAAACCATCGCCGTCAAGTATGGACGTCCCATCGACGTTCCCTGAATCTCACCGTGAAGAAGGGCAGTCACGTTCTGGACGGACAGTCAGTTTCTCCAATCACCAATTCTCAATGAGGTCGTCTCGCCTGTTCCCTAGCAACGAAGGGGGTTCCATTCCATTCGAGGTTTTTCAGGGCTCATTCCTGATCGGTAGTATAGCACGCGATTAGGGTCAGATCTCTTCCCTTGACATTTCACTCCCCTTCCCAATACACCTCGTATGCGTACACTTGGCGAGCAGTGCCGGTGCTCCCTGGCAGAATTCGTGATTGGGACGTGAGTGAGAACAGCTCATGAGAATTCTTGAAACCAACACCAAACCAGTCCTCTCCTCATCCTGCCTTTCTGATGAGCTTGCCTTGACTATGTCTCACTGACCGCAACCGAGGCAGAGTAGAGAGCTCCAGCATGGATTTTCGTCATTCGCCTCCGCTTTCGCAGGCTGTGCTGTTGACTCGTTCCATTCCCAAGCACGGTCACACTAACTACTGTTGTCCATTTTGGCAGTAGGAACTAAAGTCAGCCTTTAGTACCTTTTTTTTTTCTCTCCTACGCTTGTCGAGGACCCTTGCTAGTAAGCTCCGTTGCCTCGCAGCGGTCGACTAGTTTAAGCGCTTAGTCCGTGTCAGCAGGAGATTAGATCGAGAAATGGGCATGGAAGCCAAGGACGCGTTGGATAGCCCAGGAGGGGACTCTAATGGATTTGTAGATCTGGGAAGCATTCTTGGGGGGGATCGCTGGACATACGTCAACGATGACGTCAGTTCCTTCTCACCCTGTCCTAACCTCGTTGCCGTGTTTCCTTCGCTAGACCTGGTTGACTTACTCGACACGTTTCGCTCCTTAATCAGTTTGCGACACTAGTGGTATTTTCCCCAAGTCAGTCTAGGTCAAACCCAACTGCGTAGCGGCTTCGTGCTGATTCTGAAAATTTAAGGGTTCAATGACATTAAGACTACTGTGCTGTGATCCCGTCAACCTGCTTTCTTGTTCAAAGTCTACACAAGCTTCCAGAGCCGGGCCGCGTCATGAGTGCTTACTTTGTTGTAGTCTAGATGCACTTATTTATGGAATTACCTGTTAGTTTTTTTCAAGCTCTGGTTCACCGCACCATCATCCGTGCGTGCATCGCTCGTCATTTATCCCCCTCGTCTCTTCTCCTTATTCCTTCCCTCTTGCAGCTTACGGCCAGCACGGGGAGCAACAACAGCGCGTCTGGTGCTATTCCCGGTGGGGCTTCACCATCCCATGACATCTTGCACGCTACAGGGGAAGACGCACATGTAACGCTGTCCCACGGTGGGGAAAACGCTCAGAAGCCCGTTTCCTTCACCACCAGCATCCCTACCAGCGGCAGCAGCGGCGGCGGCGTCAGCAGCAGCAGCAGCGGCAACAGCAGCAGCAGCCGCTGGGATGGAGGCTTGTTCCGCTTGGACGGGCGAAGCTCCGTCTTCTCTGCGACTCCTTGGCGTGGAGCCGCGGAGAGTGCAGCCGATGTGGGGTCCAGGGGGTTGTCTCAGAGTGTGTCCTTTGCGTTTGATGCTGCGGGTGCGGGTGGCGTTGCGGGTGCGGGTGTGGCGTCCGGTGTTCCCGGTTCTTCTCACGGCCGCGCTGGCGCCTGGGCCGCGTACAATCGCTTGGGGAGCAGTGTGGCTGATGGTAAGGACTTCCCCGGGCAGATTGGCCCTGCTCGCGCCGGCAGCAGCGGCAGGATCGGCGGGATTGATACACTGTTGAACGGTGGTGCTGGTTACGCTGGGGCGGTTGGGGGCGCGGGGGGAGTGGCGGGGAGCAGCAGCAGCACGGGCGTCAGTGGTAGCAGAGGCGGTGGCGGTGTTGGGAGTGGTGCGAGGTGCGTGTCGCCGTGGTGCAGCTCGGTTCGAGACTCGCTGCCGTTCCTGCTGCCCACCGAGCAAGTGGTTCTGGAGGTAAGCAGCGGTGGCGGTGGCATGCTAACTTGCAGCAGTTAACTCACATATTAACGCCAGCCAGCCAGCTGGTCTGAAAGCTGTTCCCGCTACCCTCGCCGCTCTTTCCACCAGTTTGTTCAATGTTCAGTGTTCACATCCTTTGCGTTGTGCTGGCAGGAGCCTAACACGCTACTAGTCAACACGGACACCACAGGGCACCTCCTGCTCACCTCCCTCCGCCTCCTCTTCCTCTCCGCCTCGCCCTCTCCCGCCGTACACCCATCCGCGGTCATCTCCGCGTCTCCACCGTGTGCGCTGGCACCGCACCCCCTGGGCTCAGTGTACTTGCCAGTCATCGACCGCGTCGCCAAGCTGGTGGGTCACCCTCTCACCTGTCGTTACCCCCTGCTAAACCACGCCCATGTGCCCTTCCCTCACTCGCTCGCGCTACTGCACTCGGGAGGCGATATTTCTCAGCTGATTCTGGAAATCTATATGCCTTGCTTTGCGTTGGCTCTGGTATTCTAGTGCTGAATAGCAAACACTGACTATGGTATCTCGGGTTGTGTGTGGCGTTCTGTGTGTGTGCATGTGTCATGCCACATGTGCAGCCTCTGGGGCGACTGGCGCACAGCAGGGACCATCTGCTGCAGGTGCACAGTAAGTGCTGTGCTGCCGCTGTGCTGCTATTCACACCTTCGTCATGTGCTTCCGTCGTTTGCTTCGACCGTGAGAGTCGCTGTATCTGCTGTGTTTGAATGTTCTGTGTTGACAGCAATGAGGTGGTGTGTCTGAGAGTTGCTGTATCTGCTGTTGATGTTTCTGTGAGCAGCCAAGGACGCTCGAGTGCTGGTGTACGCTCTGCCCCCTCGCATCTGCGCACAGGTGTGTGTGTGGTTGTACGTGCACGCGCGTCTGCTTGCGCATGCATGTGCATGTACAGTTGCCTTTGTCAGACCCTTCATGTTCTCTTTGTTGTCCTCGTTGCCATCGTCCTTTTCCAGGTTCCCCCCGTTTCGTCTGCACCTTGCAACCCTCTCTTATCCCGTTTCCTCGCCGTGATCTGCCCTGTCCAGCACCCATGAATAACTCTTCCCATGTGTTGCGCTCCACGCTGTATGCATCCTCTGTGCGTCCATGTTCTGTGCATTGCGCTGCTGCTGCTGCTGTGTGTGTGTGTGTGTGTGTGTGTGTGTGTGTGTGTGTGCGTGTGTGTGGTAACAGGTACCGCCTGTGTTTGACACCATCATCCACCTGCTGCCGCGCTCACTGCTCGAGCTGCCAGTCTTTCACGCCCCCCTTGCTGCCCTCACCACGCCCACTGCCGCCACCAGCACCAGCAGCAGCAGAAGCGGCAGCAGCAGCAACAGCAGCAGCGCAGGCAGCATTGAGGAGGGCGCGTTGTTATCACCCACAGCACAGCTGTCACATGGTGCAGGCGCTGCCACTCCTCCTCGTGCCGGCACGCCCCCACTCCCACCTCCTCCTCCTGCAGCAGCAGCAGCAGCAGCGGCTACTGCAGGTGCCGCTGTGCAGGCGGTGGGGGTGCGGGCAGGGCAGGAGGCGGCAGGGGTGGTGATGGCGGAGTGCATGCGAGTGCTGGCCATGCTGCCAGAGCAGTGGCGCCGCCTCTGGCAGATCAGCCGAGTCAACGCCTCCTATGCTGCCTGCTCCTCCTACCCACAGCGCCTGCTCCTGCCCTCCTCCATCAGGTTCGCGCTCCCCCATCATGTACATCCTCTTCTCTCCTCGCCCTCCGCCTTTATCCCCCCGCTCTCCTCTCCCAACACATGCCCGAATTCCTCCCAATCAACCCATGCTTTGTGTGTTCTCCTGCTGTGCCCTCACTTTGTGCCCTCCCTGTGCCCGCCCCCCAGTGACGAGGACGCCATGGCATCTGCTTCCTTCCGAGCCAGAGGCCGCTTCCCTGTCATGTGCTGGCAGCATCCAGGTGCGTGCGTGTGCATGCACCACAAACGCATGCGTGTCATGTGCATGAAATTCATGCATGCACATCCATGTGTGGCTCTGCCTGCCTGCATACGTACGAGTGATTCTACCCTTCCGTCTCCACAAGTGCACCATACTCGTCTCTCCTTGCATCCATACCCCGCCCCCCCCCCCCCCCCCCTTCCATGGCGCTGTTGTGTCGCATCCTATCACTCCCACAGCCTTTCCCAACCCTGCCACCCTCTGCTTCTTGTTTATTCGCTCGCTCCTTTTCCTTCCCGGCTGTTTCCCCACTCTTTTTCTTCCCGCTTTGCCCTCTGCGTCGTGCGTCTGTGTATGCCAGGCAATGGTGCTGTGCTCAGCCGGGCAGCACAACCTCTAGTCGGCATCCTGTCCAATAATAGAAGGTACCATTGCACTGCACCGCTGCGCTTGCTTCCCATGCCTGCCCGTTCCCCTCCGCACTTTGTCATGCTCATATCGTGTCCTAATCAGCACATCCCCTCACCCCACACATATGTGCCTTCTCACTCGGATCCTCCTCTCCTTGTCCCTCCCGTCCCTTACCCCCCCTTAACCACATTGTCATCCTTGCCACATCGCCATCGGCACTCAGTGATGCGGATGAGCGCCTGGTTGCAGCGCTAGCCGGCCCTGCTCTCCCTGGGGAGCCCTTCAGGTGCGTGCTGCTGCTACTGGTGCCTGGAGGGTGCGCTGGGTGCTGGGGGCGGGTGCATTCGGTTGATGCCATGCCATTGTGGGGAGTGAACGCCAGTGTGCTTGCTTGTGCTGCTATTTGCATGGGTCAACAACGTGATGCTGTGTGTAGGTCCGTGCTAACTATCTGTCATGCTGTTCTGTGTTCTCATCCTTCCATACTGTGTGTCTGGCATTTCTGTCCCTCATTTCATCCATGTTCCATACCATGCCATGTCATGCCATGCCATGCCATGCCATGCCATGCCACGCCGTGCATGAGCAGGCGTCTGGTGGTGGCGGATGCACGGCCGCGCAAGAATGCCATAGCCAATGGGGCCATGGGCGGGGGCTATGAGTCATCTGCCAACTATCGCGGCACAGAGGTGTGTGCTTGCTAACAGCTGCTCTTCACGCAATCCCTCCTCCACCCCCTTTTTCCTACTCAAGGAGTCCTTTCCCTCCCCCCTACCCCCTTCCCTCCGTCGCTCCCTCCCTCCCTTCCTCCTTTCCTCCGGTCACAAGCACCTTTTCAGTCGTTTTGACTACCAGCCTTTTGTCGTCGTCAGCTGCGTGCATGCTGCACTGCCTGCTTCATGGTTGCGTCTGAGGCATGGCGCTTCGTGCGGCGATGCACTCGAGGATTATAATAGTCTGCATGCTCCATTGTTCCTGCATGCTTGTGCGATGCCTTGCTATTGTGCACTCACCTTTGGTCACCCCATGGCTTGTGCCCTGTGTGGCTTTGTGTGGGAGTGGCTATGGGTGTGCTTTCGTGTGTGTGTGGGTGTGGGTTGCGGGGGGAGGGGTGTGGGTTGGGGGAAGGGAGGGTTGGGTGTGTGGGTGAATTGCTTCGCATGCATGTGCGGGCACGTATGTGCGTGCGTGCGTGCATGCATGCATGGCGGATGGCAGGTTGTGTATCTGGGAATAGACAACATACATGCAGTGCGCGACAGCATGAACCGCTTGAGAGAGTACCTAGACACCCATGGCTCTGCCTGCTCCGATGGCTCCTCCTCCCTGCTCGTCAGTGCCCCTCACACCACCATCACCACCACATTACAACACTGCAATCACCACTACCACCACCTCCTTCCCTCCCACCTTCCCCCCCTCCTCCCCTCCCCGCCCTTCCCACCCCGTTTTTTCTCCCGCCCTTTTTCGCCGTTCTGTTCGATGCCCTGCTGCGTCATCCATTCCTTTCCTGCTCCAATCGTTTTTTTTTTTTTTTTTTCTATTTGGCTTCCGAATCCCCCCTCGTCCTAAATCCTCCCACTTGGCATCCCTGTTTGCACGCGCCCCACCTGCAACTCCAACGCCCATGCATTCCCCGCCTCTCCCGCACAGAGGAGCGGCACGGGCGGGTGGACGGGCGGGTCGGTGAGTGGCACGTCACAGGTGGTGGCGGCGCTGATGGACTCGTGCTGGCTGCAGCACTGCCACTCACTGCTGTCCGGTGCCGTCTTCATCGCTGCGCAGATCGCCCTGCAGGGCAACTCCGTGCTTGTGCACTGCAGGTGGGGGAGGGGGAGGGGGAGGGTTGGGGGAGACGGGGGAAGGGGAGGGGGGGGGGGAGGGGGAGGGGGATGAAATGAGGGGCATTGTGTGGGGAGCTTGGCGGGAGGGGGTAAAGTGGGGAAGACTGGGGGAAAAATTGGCAGGAGGAGACGCTTCTATTGCCAATTCTGGATGCGAGGCGCTTCTTTGCAGAGCTGGATGCATGTAACGGTTCTCCCGTGACCCGCCCACTGCTCTCACTATCCGCCATTCTTGCCGCCTCCCTTCTGTTGCCCGCCTCACCTTTTCCCCATCTCTCACCCCTGCCCTATTCCCATGATGACCTCGTTTTTCTGCTGGTGTGCGTGGTGCAGTGACGGGTGGGATCGCACGCCCTCGCTTGTCTCACTCGCCATGCTGCTGCTAGACCCCTACTACCGCACCTTCCAAGGCTTCCAGGTACCGCTCCCTTAAAACCTCATCCTATCCTACCATCCTATCACCGTGTCGCCCTGTCGAGCCGCTGCCCTTGTGCCCCACTGCCCTGCTTCTCTGCTGCCCAACCGCGCTGCCGACCAATTGTTCTTTCAGCGTACCACCCTACCACCCTCTCTCACCAGTCCCTTTTCCCCTCACTCGTTTCCCTCCGCCTGTTCTCTGTCCCCTGTGGCTCTTCCTTGGGAGAATTTTTCCTCCTTACTTTTGTCCGTCTATCCTCTCTTCATGTGTTTCCCCCCCATCTTCCCCCACTCTCAACCCCATCCCCCCTCCTCTCCCGTATGCCTTGCAGTCACTAGTGGTGACGCATTGGGCAGCCTTTGGTTTGGCCATTTCTTTGCAGACGGCGATTCGAGACGTTGCAAAACTCCCCTGCCCCCACCCCCACCCCCACCTTCCCACTTCTCCTCTCCGCCGTGCAGTCGCTAGTGGAGACGCACTGGGCGGCCTTTGGCCATCCCTTTGCAGACCGCTTGGGCGTGCCAGCAGACCCGCCCACTGTCTCCTCCTCCTCCTCTCGCACCAACCCCGCTCTCTCCCTCGCCGCCGCTGCCGCTGCAAGTCCTGGTGCTATTGCTGGTGGAGTAGGTGTGGGGTGCGGTGCTGCTGGGTGCGGAGCTCCTGGTCACGGCGTGAATAGTTCTGCGGGTGCGGTTGCAGCTGCTGCAGCGGCTTCTGCTGCTGCTGCTTCTGCTGCACCTGCTGGGGGTGCCGCTGCCACTGCTGCTGGTGCTGCGGGTACAGCGGGGTATGCAGGTGCATCCCTGTCGTCGCTATCAGCATCGGGGTTCCCTGTGGCGAGCAGCAGTGTGGCAGGGTCAACCTTCCAGGCCAACAGCAGCAACAACCAGTCGCCCGTGTTCTTCCAGGTGGGACCCTCCTGTGATGGACTGAATGTCACACACAACAGTCCCCACACCAGCCACACATGAGCCACACGCCTGCTGCTTGCTCGCCTCTCAGGGCTCTCGCTTACATGCTATTCTCTACCGTGTGTGCTTTCTTGTGTGTCTGTCCAGTGGATTGATGCCGTGGCACAGCTGCTTCGCCTCTTCCCTCGTGCCTTTGAGTTCTCCACGGTATGTTTCCCCAACCCTGCCTCGTAACTCATGGGGTTCTTTCATTCAAGGCTGTCTGACAACACGCTATGCTTCTGCCACGCTGCTTCTCCGTCTCTTCCTCCCAGTTTCCCTCGCCCCTCTCCCTCCTCCTCCCCTGCCCCTTTCTCTTCGGGTTCTTTTCTCGCTCTTCCACTCCCCTCTATTCATCCACAATCCCCCCCTGCTCGCTCTCCTCCCCTTCCTCCCCTCATGCAACCATGTGCAGGCGTTCTTAGTGGATCTGCTGGACTCTGTGCTCTCATGCCGCTTTGCCAATTTCCTCTGCAACAATGACAAGGAGCGCTCGCTCGCACGCACCTACCACTCCTCCTCCCGCCCCCACCCCTTCCCGCACTCCCATGCCACCCTCTCGCCCGCATCCCTTCCTCCTTCATGTGTCTGGGAACACCTAAGACGCCTGAGGGACCCCTCCTCTCCCTCCTCCTCTCTGTCCTCCTCCGCTGCTGCTGCTGGGGATGCAGGCAGAGGAAGGCAGATGGGTGCATCTGGTGATGCGGCTGCTGCTCCTTGCTGTCCGTTGAGTCATCCCCATGTCAACCCCCTCTACTCTCCCTCTTCCATCTTCGCTGCCTCTGCTCCTCCGGCTTCTGCTGCTTTTCCTGCTGCTCCTGCCGCCACTGCTGCTGTCTGCACAGCCACAAGCAGCACAGGCATCACGAGCAGCAGCATCAGCACCAGAACTCAGGCAGCTATCCGCCCTACGTCCTGCCCTCCTGTTCAAATACGCCAAATGACTCTCTTCCCCCCATCCCCTCCGTCGCCCGCCATTCTCCTCCCTCCTGCTGCCTCTCTCGCCCCTGTGCTCCTACCTGAGCTCTACCTCCGCTGGTGCTGCCCTGCTGCTGTTCCCCCCCTCCGCTCCCTCCTCTCTTCCTCGTCCCCTCTTGCTTCCCCGCCTCCTTCTGCTGCTGCTGCGGCTGCTGCTGCTGCTACCGGTGGTGGTGGAGCTGGTAGAATTGAGTCTGTCAGTGGGAGTGAGTACATGGCGTCTTCCCTCCTGCTAGACGGAAGGGGTGCAGGTGGAGCAGCGGCAGCCGCCGCAGCAACAGTTTCTCTGCTGTCCTCCAGTTGCCATGCTGCTGTGCTGCACTCCAGTGCGAATCACCACCGCCAGCAGCAGCACAACCACCAATACACCAGCACGCACCAGCATCACCAGCACCACCAGCATCATCATCACCAGCATCAGCACCATCAGCAAAAGCAGCAGCAGGAGCGGATGGAGGGGTGGGTGGCTCGGGGAGAGCCAGTTCACTGGGACTCCGTTTCTGCTGAGATTCGGCGCCTCTACCACTCGCACCAACTGATTGAAGCGGTATGTGTTTGCCTCTGCATGCTGCATTTCTCTCACGGTCTTTTCATGTTTTCATGATGCTCCTGTGCTGCTTCTGTGGTGCTTCTCTGATGCTTCTGTAGTGCTTCGATGATGCGCCCGTCACATGTCTGGCATCCTTTGCTGTAGCCCTGGTCTATTTACCCACTCCTGCCCTTTGTTTTCTCTCTCTCTCTCTCCCCTGCGTCTTTCCTGCCCGCACTTCTGCTTCACCCTGATGCCATGCAGGAGTGTGCAGCACTACAGGGTGCAGTGGAGCAGTCACAGCTAGGAATGCAGCAGCTGCAGCAGGCACTACAGGAGAGCGAGAGCAGGCGAGCAGAGGCCGAGAGGCGCAGGGACGAGGCAGAGCGGGAGAACGCGAGTCTCCGCAGGAACCTGGCGAACCTGCAGCAGTCACAGGAGGCAATGCTAGCGGCCGTGTGTCAGGAAGCGGCGTCGGCTGCTGCTGCTGCTGCCTTCACTGCAGCGGGCGCCGGGGGTTCAGCTGCGTCTGCCTCGGCTGCTGCTGCTGTTCGCTCACGCATGGCTGCTTCGTCACGGTTCCCGTCGCTAGCTTCTGCAGCAACTGCGGCAGCAGCGGCGGCGGCAGCAGCTGCTGCAGGTGGGTTGCGCCTTGCACTGCCCACCGGTGCTCGCAGGTCGCGAAGTGTCTCCTCCGAACCGAGGTCTTCTGGGGCTGCTCCTGATGCTTCAGGTGCTTCGGGTGCTGCAGCCCCTGATTCTGTCGAAGCCAGTCATGCCGTGGGGTTGGGCGAGGCGCTTCGTCTCGACACAGGTAGGAGTAACGGTGCTGGTGGTGGTGCAGTGTCTCCTGCTCCCACCACGCCACCATTCCTCCCCTTGCACGCTGCTTCCTGGAGCCCTTGCTTTGGGTCGGGAGGGGCAGTCCCCACCTGCCCCAGTTGTGCCCGCCCTCTCATGGTTGTAGCAGCAGAAGAGACTGAGCTGGAGGAGGGTGGAGCGGGGCGGAAAGCAGGGGGAAGAATAGGAGGGATGAGGGGGGAAGGGGTGGAAGAGAGCAGTGCAGCGGCCCGGGAGGATGGGGAGTGGGAGGAGGCGATAGAGGGGTGGCAGTACGAGTGCCTATGGTGTGGCCTGAGTGCTTCTGGCTGTCGCAAGACGTCTGGTAGCTGGACTGCTGCTGCAGAGGTGGATAATGCGGAGGTGGGAGTAAGCAGGGGGGAGGATTTGAGGAAATTGCTTGACCAGCAAAGTCACCAGGCGCACCATCGGCAGTTTACAGAAGGTGAAGCTGCGGCGCCGGCCGCTAAGCTGTATGTGGGTGGTAACCACAGTAACAGCAGCGGCATGAATGGCAGTGTGGGCAACTGCCATGGTGCAGTGTGCTCCATTCCGGTGCCTGCGTTTGTCCAGGCCGATTTTGACGCCTTGCGGTGTGGGCCCATTCCCAATTATGTTGGGTCCCTGTCATCGTCCTCATCCCACTCTGCTGGCGCGGCTGCAATGTGAAGAGGCTTAATGAATGCCAAGCCATCTAAGGTAACTGCACAAGCCGACTTTTGACTCGAGCTACCAAGGGAGGGATCCATCTATGACCCAAGTAGATGGCTGAAAGTGTTTTGTTACAAAGTGTGATCATGAGTTCGTACATTGGCTCGCTTGTTTCGATAAAAAACAATGGCATGTATAGTTGATGTTTGTAGCTAGCTTGTGATGTGAGACCAATGTCCTGGTCTGTCAGCAGCCCGTCGAGAAGCCCTTGTGGACAATGGCAGAATACACAAATGTAAAGAGCGCTCTGGTTTTTTCTTATAATGATACAGCGAAGATACTTGATATCTGTGTTAATTGAATTGGTGATAATGACACCGAAGAACATTAAAAGATGATGTGTGCTGCACGAATCCACCATCTCGGTGTGGTCCAGGGCAATGCTGTGGATATCGGATCAGATTTTTTCAAGGGAACCCCCCACAGATACTCTCCTCCGCCAGGTGAAGGCTACGCCGCATCGCTCCTCCCACGCCAGAGGGGAGAGGGACGAGGGAAAAGAGGTGAACGAGACTAAAGGAAAAGGTGGGGAAACAGAGTAGGTCATTACCGCAAGCAGAGTGATTAAAATGGCATAAGGAAATGAGCAAGCAGTGGGGAGATCTGGCATAAGGGAAGGGGACATGAATTTGATATGATCTGCACCCAAACAGTAGTTGAGGGGTTACCTGAGGGCACACCTGAGAGAGTACCTGAAACTTGAGGGGACACCTGAGGGCGTACCTGGACTGTTACCTGAGGTACCGCACGCTCATACGCTGCACCGCCCGCTCATACGCTGCACCGCCCACTCATACGCTGCACCGCCCGCTCATACGCTGCACCGCACGCTCATACGCTGCACCGCACGCTCATACGCTGCACCGCACGCTCATACGCTGCACCGCACGCTCATACGCTGCACCGCCCGCTCATACGCTGCACCGCCCGCTCATACGCTGCACCGCACGCTCATACGCTGCACCGCCCGCTCATACGCTGCACCGCCCGCTCATACGCTGCACCGCACGCTCATACGCTGCACCGCACGCTCATACGCTGCACCGCACGCTCATACGCTGCACCGCCCGCTCATACGCTGCACCGCCCGCTCATACGCTGCACCGCCCGCTCATACGCTGCACCGCCCGCTCATACGCTGCACCGCCCGCTCATACGCAGCACCGCCCGCTCATACGCTGCACCGCTGCACCGTACGCTCATACGCTGCACCACCCGCCCATACGCTGCACCGCCCGCCCATACGCTGCACCGCCCGCCCATACGCTGCACCGCCCGCCCATACCCTGCACCGCCCGCCCTTACGCTGGAGCTGCAGCTCCGGCCTGGGAAATGGAGCTGCAGCTCCAGGCGCAGGAGAAGCTGCAGCTCCAGGCGCAGGAGAATCTGCAGCTCCAGACGCAAAATCTGCAGCTCCAGGCGCAGGAGAATCTGCAGCTCCAGGCGCAGGAGAATCTGCAGCTCCAGGCGCAGGAGAATCTGCAGCTCCAGGCGCAGGAGAATCTGCAGCTCCAGGCGCAGGAGAATCTGCAGCTCCAGGCGCAGGAGAATCTGCAGCTCCAGGCGCAGGAGAATCTGCAGCTCCAGGCGCAGGAGAATCTGCAGCTCCAGGCGCAGGAGAATCTGCAGCTCCAGGCGCAGGAGAATCTGCAGCTCCAGGCGCAGGAGAATCTGCAGCTCCAGGCGCGCAGGAGAAGCTGCAGCTCCAGGCGCAGGAGAATGTGCAGCTCCAGGCGCAGGAGAATCTGCAGCTCCAGGCGCAGGAGAATCTGCAGCTCCAGGCGCAGGAGAATCTGCAGCTCAGGGCGCAGGAGAAGCTGCAGCTCCAGGCGCAGGAGAATCTGCAGCTCCAGGCGCAGGAGAATCTGCAGCTCCAGGCGCAGGAGAATCTGCAGCTCCAGGCGCAGGAGAATCTGCAGCTCCAGGCGCAGGAGAATCTGCAGCTCCAGGCGCAGGAGAATCTGCAGCTCCAGGCGCAGGAGAATCTGCAGCTGCAGACGCAGGAGAATCTGCAGCTCCAGGCGCAGGAGAATCTGCAGCTCCAAGCGCAGGAGAATCTGCAGCTCCAGGCGCAGGAGAATCTGCAGCTCCAGGCGCAGGAGAATCTGCAGCTCCAGGCGCAGGAGAATCTGCAGCTCCAGGCGCAGGAGAATCTGCAGCTCCAGGCGCAGGAGAATCTGCAGCTCCAGGCCCAGGAGAATCTGCAGCTCCAGGCGCAGGAGAATCTGCAGCTCCAGGCGCAGGAGAATCTGCAGCTCCGGGCGCGCAGGAGAATCTGCAGCTCCAGGCGCAGGAGAATCTGCAGCTCCAGGCGCAGGAGAATCTGCAGCTCCAGGCGCAGGAGAATCTGCAGCTCCAGGCGCTGGAGAATCTGCAGCTCCAGGCGCAGGAGAATCTGCAGCTCCAGGCGCAGGAGAATCTGCAGCTCCAGGCGCAGGAGAATCTGCAGCTCCAGGCGCAGGAGAATCTGCAGCTCCAGGCGCAGGAGAATCTGCAGCTCCAGGCGCGCAGGAGAATCTGCAGCTCCAGGCGCAGGAGAAGCTGCAGCTCCAGGCGCACGAGAAGCTGCAGCTCCAGGCGCAGGAGAATGTGCAGCTCCAGGCGCAGGAGAATCTGCAGCTCCAGGCGCAGGAGAATCTGCAGCTCCAGGCGCAGGAGAATCTGCAGCTCCAGGCGCAGGAGAAGCTGCAGCTCCAGGCGCAGGAGAATCTGCAGCTCCAGGCGCAGGAGAATCTGCAGCTCCAGGCGCGCAGGAGAATCTGCAGCTCCAGGCGCAGGAGAATCTGCAGCTCCAGGCGCAGGAGAAGCTGCAGCTCCAGGCGCAGGAGAATCTGCAGCTCCAGGCGCAGGAGAAGCTGCAGCTCCAGGCGCAGGAGAATCTGCAGCTCCAGGCGCAGGAGAATCTGCAGCTCCAGGCGCAGGAGAATCTGCAGCTCCAGGCGCGCAGGAGAATCTGCAGCTCCAGGCGCAGGAGAATCTGCAGCTCCAGGCGCAGGAGAATCTGCAGCTCCAGGCGCAGGAGAATCTGCAGCTCCAGGCGCAGGAGAATCTGCAGCTCCAGGCGCAGGAGAATCTGCAGCTCCAGGCGCAGGAGAATCTGCAGCTCCAGGCGCAGGAGAATCTGCAGCTCCAGGCGCAGGAGAATCTGCAGCTCCAGGCGCGCAGGAGAATCTGCAGCTCCAGGCGCAGGAGAATCTGCAGCTCCAGGTGGAGGAGAATCTGCAGCTCCAGGCGCGCAGGAGAATCTGAAGCTCCAGGCGCAGGAGAATCTGCAGCTCCAGGCGCAGGAGAAGCTGCAGCTCCAGGCGCAGGAGAAGCTGCAGCTCCAGGCGCAGGAGAATCTGCAGCTCCAGGCGCAGGAGAATCTGCAGCTCCAGGCGCAGGAGAATCTGCAGCTCCAGGCGCAGGAGAATCTGCAGCTCCAGGAGCAGGAGAATCTGCAGCTCCAGGCGCAGGAGAATCTGCAGCTCCAGGCGCAGGAGAATCTGCAGCTCCAGGCGCGCAGGAGAATCTGCAGCTCCAGGCGCAGGAGAATCTGCAGCTCCAGGCGCAGGAGAATCTGCAGCTCCAGGCGCAGGAGAATCTGCAGCTCCAGGCGCGCAGGAGAATCTGCAGCTCCAGGCGCAGGAGAATCTGCAGCTCCAGGCGCAGGAGAAGCTGCAGCTCCAGGCGCAGGAGAATCTGCAGCTCCAGGCGCAGGAGAATCTGCAGCTCCAGGCGCAGGAGAATCTGCAGCTCCAGGCGCAGGAGAATCTGCAGCTCCAGGCGCAGGAGAATCTGCAGCTCCAGGCGCAGGAGAATCTGCAGCTCCAGGCGCAGGAGAATCTGCAGCTCCAGGCGCAGGAGAATCTGCAGCTCCAGGCGCGCAGGAGAATCTGCAGCTCCAGGCGCAGGAGAATCTGCAGCTCCAGGCGCAGGAGAATCTGCAGCTCCAGGCGCAGGAGAATCTGCAGCTCCAGGCGCAGGAGAATTTGCAGCTCCAGGCGCAGGAGAATCTGCAGCTCCAGGCGCAGGAGAATCTGCAGCTCCAGGCGCAGGAGAATCTGCAGCTCCAGGCGCGCAGGAGAATCTGCAGCTCCAGGCGCAGGAGAATCTGCAGCTCCAGGCGCAGGAGAATCTGCAGCTCCAGGCGCAGGAGAATCTGCACCGCCCGTACATTCGCTGCACCGCACGCACATACGCTGCACCGCCCGCTCATACGCTGCACCACCCGCTCATACGCTGCACCGCCCGCTCATACGCTGCACCGCCCGCTCATACGCTGCACCGCTCGCTCATACGCTGCACGGCCCGCTCATATGCTGCACCGCCCGCTCATACGCTGCACCGCCAGCTCATACGCTGCACCGCCCGCTCATACGCTGCACCGCCCGCTCATACGCTGCACCGCCCGCTCATACGCTGCACCGCCCGCTCAAACGCTGCACCGCCCGCTCATACCACCGCCCGCTCATACGCTGCACCGCCCGCTCATACGCTGCACCGCCCGCTCATACGCTGCACCGCCCGCTCATACGCTGCACCGCCTGCTCATACGCTGCACCGCCCGCTCATACGCTGCACCGCCCGCTCATACGCTGCACCGCCCGCTCATACGCTGCACCGCCCGCTCATACGCTGCACCGCCCGCTCATACGCTGCACCGCCCGCTCATACGCTGCACCGCCCGCTCATACGCTGCACCGCCCGCTCATACGCTGCACCGCCCGCTCATACGCTGCACCGCCCGCTCATACGCTGCACCGCCCGCTCATACGCTGCACCGCCCGCTCATACGCTGCACCGCCCGCTCATAACGCTGCACCGCACGCTCATACGCTGCACCGCCCGCTCATACGCTGCACCGCCCGCTCATACGCTGCACCGCCCGCTCATACGCTGCACCGCCCGCTCATACGCTGCACCGCCCGCTCATACGCTGCACCGCCCGCTCATACGCTGCACCGCCCGCTCATACG